GCAGGAAGGCAATAGCAAAAACAGTTCACGTTTGTGATCCATACTAAAATTTTGTATGTATTGATTTATTTTACTTTACAATCGGAACTTTAAAAAAAAAAAGTTTAAATGCTGGAGCTCAATACTTGACGTAATTGGTCGAAGCAATCCGCCAACGGGGTTAGACTGATATCTGGTGGTCAACTGGAGCAACTACATGGAAAACTTTAAAATCCAAGCTCTTATTTTGAAGTGAAGATAGTTTCCTGTTCTCCGTGCTTTCGTTTCCCGTCACAAATCAAATCCGTCGTGTACCCAGAATGCATCGCTTCAGTTTTCCAATAAACAAGTTTAAAATTACTTTATTGATGCTTCTTTAATGAAAAATCTACAACAAACAAAAGAAAAACAAAGAAGCAGCCGAAGTAGCAATCCTCAACAACTTTTTAACTTTTACACCAGGAGCTAAAAGTCTGTTTCAGGAAATCACATCCCCAGCTATCGGCAGTTGTAGGATTAAGTAAAGAGTTCATACACCGCTAGTTGGCAGTGTTGTGCATATATTGTAAATGAATTGTTGCCAGCTAGTAAGTGTCAAATTGAACTTGCTCTTAAAAATTAGCTTCTGCTAGTTTTTCTACGGCATAAGTGCTTTAGAAATTGCGGAGCTACTTTTTGGATTAGCGCTGCCCACCGCTGATAATAATAATAAAAAAAGGGAGGAAGCATCATTCATTTCTTGAACGAGCCGACATTCTTACTCTGAGTCCGACTCGTTGCCCCCGTTGACCGTCCCAGACTTCAAGTGCATGGCCACGCCCCCGTTGGTCTCCCGGTAGATCCCCGGYGGCGGCGGCGCCCCGACAGGAGCCTGAGGCCGGGGGGTGACGGGCGGCTTCACCTTGATGCTGTTGTCGTGGTTGCCGGTGCGACCAACTCCTCCTCCTCCTCCGTCGTCGGACGTCTGGGAGGAGAGGCGGGACGAAGGGGAGGTGATGCTGACATAGGAGGCGGGCGGCGGCGAGGTGTTGTGGTTGTTATTGATGGGCGGGGGGGAGGTGATGGTGGGGGGGTTGTAGTCGCTCAGCTTCTCCCTCAGACGGTTCTTCATGTTCTTGTCGGCGAGCGGCGGAGGGTAGCTGATCTTGTTCTTCAGGATGCCTGAGCGGGAAGATCCATTCATGTTGCACGTTTTTAGTAAAAATAAGAAGAACGAGAGAAATTAGTGTGAATGCTTATTGCTGAAAACTTTAGCTTAAAGCTGCCGAAGTGGAGCTGAAAATGTTTTATAGCAAAGCTGTTCCATTTGAGAAGTTGGAAGAAGCACAAACTATATATAGAATACAAGAAAGGAGAAGAATAATATTAGAAAAAGCAGAAAAAAAGCTACCGTTAGCATAAAAACAAGCTAACGGTAGCAGACACAAATTAAAATTAGCACTTAGATGTTAAGAGGTTTTAAAAATGTCAAATTAGCAGAAAAGAAAGATAAAAGTACAAAAAAGTCATTATTTATTGTAAAATAGCTAAAACAGAAAAGAATTTGCTGTAAAACAGCTAAAATGAAGCTTGAAATTCCTACATTAGCATAAGGAAGCATAAGGAGCACAAGTTTGCTGAATAAAGCAGACAGAAGCTGAAATGGCCACAAAAATGTAAATTCAACCTAAAWATCTAACTTTAGCTGATAACAGCTGAGCATTAACTAAAATTGCAGCAAATAGCTGAATATAAYTAAAGCAACWRTAAGAAGCAGAAAGAATTAGCAGARAGAGACAGAATATTAGCTGAAATAGCAGAAAAAAGCTAAAATTACCCTAAAAATAAGCTAAATGTAGCAGCCACAAGTTGAAATTAGCACTCAGATGATGAAAATGTTGTAAAAAAATAATTAGCAGGAAAAAAAAGCATAAAAGTACACAAAAGTGATCATTAATTGTAAAATAACTAAAACAGCTAAAATATAGCTGGAAATTCTTTAATTAGAATAAGAAGCACAAGTTTGCTGAACTTAGCAGAAATAAATTTGTTATGACGAAATGTTTATTTAGCTTAAAAAAGCTAACTTTAGCTAATAACTGAACTTTAGCTAAAATTGCAGCAAATTGCTGAATATAGCTGAAAGCAACTGTAAGAAGCATAAATAGCTTAAATTAGCAGATAGAAGCGCAAAAAGGTAGTAAAAAGCAGAAGAATAGCAGAAAGAAGCAAAATTATAGCTGAAATAGCAGAAAAAGCTAAAATTAGCACAAGTTAAAAAGAGCAGAAGCAGAACAAAAGGGGTTATTTAAAGATTTAGAAACATTTTGAAGGATTTTAAGGATGTTGAAAACAGCTCTGTTCATTTTCAGWGGGAAAAATGTGGCTGAAAAAGTGAAATAGCTAAAAAAAGTATAAATAGCTGAAATACCAAAGGTCGTAGCTGGAATGTCATGAAGGAGGTGAACGTTTTTTTTTTTAATTTGAGTTGTTGAAATAGCACAAAAATTGCAGAACGAGAAACGTGCAAACAAACATGCAGAAGAAAAACTGATCTCAACAGTGTGAATGCTTGTGAAAYGTTCGCACTATTATTTAAATGATTTTTTTTTTACCTTTCCTCTGCTCTGGTTGGTGGTTGCTGTTGGCTTGACACGGAGGCGCAGCGTCTTTAGCGGCCGCCTGCTGGTCCCTGTCTTTCGGCGCCTCCCTCTCTCGTTCGCCCACGTGGTTGAGCTTATTTTCCAGGTGCAGCTCCACGTTCACCTTGGTCTCCACCCTCAGCCTCTCCATCCCACCCAGGTCCTCGCTGTCGCTGCCTGTGGTGGGATCCAYCGGCCAGTACGGCTTCACGTGATTGGACGAATCACCTAAAAGGAAGTTTAATTAATTCTGCTTTTTTGTAACGAAGTGTAAGAAAATGCTCGTTAAATGAAATCGAGACGAAACCACATAAATATTGAATAGATTAAAACGTGAAGAGAATAGGACCATAAAACCCCAGATCTGGTTACGAGCAAGGCTTTTATTGCTCCTGGCTGGAGTCACAAAAGCAGCGCTGCCTGAAACAGGAACTTCCGGTCTTTTTATACAGGGACCTTTAGTGCCTGGTACGCCCACTACTGGCCTACAGCTGAATCGCAGGCAACTCGTACAGAAAATATCTTCACTAATGAATTTAAACCGGTTTTTCTATGTGTTGTCATACTGTTTTGGGAATGTACCTAAAACTATTTTAATYAGGACATTACAACAGATTATAAAAGTCAATACTGAAAAAGGAAAACTAAGAAAATGGTGCAGTGCTTTTAACATCAGTATCTAATAAATTCCTTCAGAAGCATCCAAGGATGAAACTTWGCATTTATTTGTCTTTTAGTTCTAGATTTGCTTTTATTTTTCATCATGATGTCATTAAACGCACCTTTCGGGGTGCTGTGAACGGGCCTCTCGTTGTTCCATTTCTGCTTGACRTCCAGGTCGTCGTCCTCGCTGTCGGAGGAGTGGGAGGAGGCGTAAGAGGAGCTGTGCTCGTCCACGGAAAGCTCGCTGTCCGAGTCAGAGTCTGGTGGAAACAGACAAGGGGTTTAAATGCTCAACGACCTCCTGCAGGTAAAACATCTGTTAGTTTAAAAAAATAACAAAAACTCACCGTCTCCCTTGGAGCCGTTTTTGTGGAAAAGAGGTCCGTCCAGATCCGTGTGTCCTTTGGCTGTCCCTGAGGAGACGCTGGGCTTCTGACCGGACTCGTCCCTGAAGGTTTAATCAGAGGTGGAGGAGACGTGGGGAGGTGTTTAGAGGACACGGAGAGGGGAAGTACAGCGTTACCGGCAGTTAATACAAGCCTCAACTTGTGGTTCTCCACAGCTGAAACATCTGCTCCTGTTGTCGGCTTTGACAATAGAAAATGTGGTTAAAATGATCACCGGCACAAAGAAACACGAGCCACCGATCAAAGATTAGTRGCTGGTTTATTGTTAAACCCAAACACTGAACAGTTATAGTTTTAGTTTTTGCTTTGCAGCCAGTTTTAATGATTTTAATCAAGATTCCAGTTTCTAATTACRAAACAATAAGCCAAACAAATCACTTTTACGCTTTTATTCTCACTATTTCAAGTTGGATTCTGATTTTGCCCGGAGGGTAAATTTGCTACACGAGACTCTAAACMTGTCTGGATCTAAGAGAAGTTTCTGGAAGCAGCTGAAGTTTTGCCAATAGCTGCAGGAAAAACTCAATAAATGCATGCGTGTTACTTTCTCCTCTCTGATTTCAGTTTTATTCCTCGTTTTGTCTTCATATTTCTCAAACACGCAGCTCCGCTTTAAGATTTTGCTCTCCGTGACCTCGACGTCGGCTCATATTGCCCAAACGACAGATTTTTGAGAGCAAACATGCAGCCATATTATCTTTACAATTTTTAAAAATGTCTATTTATTGTGCCTAAAACACACGTACAATAAATCCAGATCACTGAGAAATCAGTTCAACATTTTATCTTTGTTTTATCAAAGGGATCCATGATTAGTTGTAACATTAGACTTTATTTGACAAATATTTATTTTAACTATGAAATAAAGACTGTAAAAATACTGTAGGCTGTTTAATTTTTTATCATTTTTAAACTGAAAGTTTAAAAATATATTACACAGACGGGGACATTTTATTTACA